TTGAAAAACAGAAAGAGAACAATCTTTTACATAGCGCCTCTCAGGATAACATGTGGAAAGTTTTAAATGTTTGGGGACACAGATAGACACCCATCTGTCCTTCCAAACACACTCCGATTCAATTTGCTTTAAAGCACTCCAGTGCCTCCACCTTCTCAGGAAACTAAGGGACTTTAAGGTCAGTAAACCCATTTTTATGAAGGTCTACCAGTCATCCACAGAATCTAGTGCTGCCACAAACGATTATTTTCATAGTTGACTAATCACTAGTTTTTTTGCCGATTAGTCCACTAACCCCTGAAAGCATCATTGACACGGAATGGCAGCGGAACGTCGCTGCTTCACATAGAATCAATTATAGTCTATGGAGTGTTTCAAACCGGCCAAATTGCAACAATTTTGAGACGCAACCCAGAAGTGGCGCACTGCACTGCTAAAGATGGGATCATGTTCTATATTTGCCACGAGCCGCTTATGAGACACGTCAATTTCCACAGTTACCTTAGGGCTAGACAGGAAATCACACACGGTTTTAGTGTAAAATCCCTGGCAATTTTCAAAATAAAAGTACTGCAGTGATGCAATTTTATATAACTGAAGCGTACGTGTGACCCAACGGCTTATTCACCCCTGGATCATTCCAGAAGTGCAACGGTGTGTTTTTCATGCTTTTAATCCTGGCAGTGGAGAGGAGCAACGTCATACATGATATCAAACAACAACATCAAATTAGATTTTTTTCTTTTTGTTTTAACAGCGAAATGCATAAATAAACCTGCCAGACCTATAAAACATCTTGCTGTCTCAATATAGATGACAGCAAATTGTGCAGGTTTAACTCTTACTTACTTTAAAGGTAAATTCACCAGGATGCCTCTCTATTATCATTTTGTCCCTTCTCCAGGTTTGAATTCCTGCTTTTCTCAGTTGGAGCACCACTCTGCCATCTAGTGGTCATTTCTTATAACCATTTGACTAAGTTTGTATGGCTCTTAGACACATATATGTCTAAATAAACTATTTTTGAATATTTAAAAGTAAATGTAGGCTGCTCTTTTATAACTATAGGATGCTGAGATATTCTATTTTTCCACAGAAAAGCACATTTCCCCCTTGAACACAAGTTTAGACTAACTCCTAAGAAAATGCAGATTTCCCAGCTTTCACCTAGCATTCTGTCAGGTGAGAAAAGACCCTCAAAATACTTTTTGTACTTGTAAACTGATCTGTCTGTAATGTGTTTTTGTCTGTGTACCAGGTGATTTGATTGTGTATTCAATGATTTGGATATGTAGGAGCTTAAGATACACAAAAAAATTTAAACACAAGTTGCAAATCAAGAGTTACACAGGCATAGATTTATCTACACACACACACACACACACACACACACACACACACACAGCTCTATTTACATATGTACAGAACGGTTGAGACTTTTTGAGACTTGTTTCTCCTCATAGATTCTGCATTAGACTGATTTTGAAAACATGTCTGAGTCAGTTCTGATCCCGCCATCTTAAACCAACAATACAGTTGTTATATGTGTCAATATAAAGGTACAGCAGTCGGTAAGCATCACACGTTTCGGTTTCTTACAGGTGTTCAACTGGTGGTGCTGGTTAAAGGAGAAGCTTCTGAAGAACAGAGTGCTGGTGTGGACCAGCAGGACCCAGAGCACCTCCACATAAAGGAGGAAGAGGAGGAACTCTGGACCCGTCTGGAGGGAGAGCACCTCTGCTTGAAGGAGGAGACTGAAGCTGTCGGGTTTCCTGTTACTGCTGTTTCTATAAAGAGTGAGGATGATGAAGAGAAACCTCTGGTCTCACAGCTTCATCAGCAGCAAATAGAAGACAGAGATGTTCCAACAAACAGCTCGGCTTACCAGAGGACAGCAGAAACAGGTGGAGGAGCAGAAACTAACAGGAGCCCAGATCTGAACCCTGATGAACAGACGTCTGATTCTTCAGCAACTGAAAGTGCAGATGAAGATGTGAATCTGGACTTTGAGCTGAGAGATTCTGTGTCTGATACTGCAGACGGAGACGATGGCTGGAATGAAAACTGGTCTTCTGAGTCAGATGTTAAGACTGTCAACAAATCCTTTTGCTGCCCTGAGTGTGGTAAAAGGTTTCTGCGTAAGTGGTCTCTCAACCGCCATTGATAGTTGTTAAAAGTTGTTAAACCTGTGCATATGAAACAAAAAACGCCTTTTGTTTATCAATTTATTGTGAAAAACGGAAGTTGTGCTTGCTCCTTTTCCTGTTGGGCGGTTGTGATTTCTGTCCATATAATGCGGAGGTGCTCCGGCATCCGGCAAAAATAGGATCGATTCTATTTTTGACGAACGCCGGAACAGAGGGCGGCGCACTGCGCCGCACTGCTGGAGCACGGCCGCAGTAGTGGAATTGCTCTGATTGACTATTACGGGACCGATTTTGCTCCGGCGTTCGTGTCGGAGCGGAGCGGAGCGAAGGTAGTGGAATTTGGGGGTTAAGGAGTCTAAGCTGGTTCAGCTTTGTTCTGAAGGAACCGTTTGCAGTATCAGCTTTAGCATGCAACAGGTTTTGACAGCTTGTCAAAGATGCGATGGGAGCAGAGTTTCCCTCCGATGGCCAGTCAGAGTTAGGCTCAGCATCACTTCCTGAGGAATTCAGTTGTTTAAATAACGGCCATATTTTGGTTTACTGATAAATCAGAACTTGCCCTGTAAAGGGGTTTTGCCAACAAACTCAGATACACACCTCCCTCAGATATAAAGATGCTGATTTTGTGGATAAGAAAATATGAGCAGTGGCGTTGATTCTAACTTGCGTCATTGAGATATGGTGTGTGTGTCTTGTCCAGTCAGTGCGCTGATTAAATATAAGGGTCATATATTTCATTGCATCCTTGTTAATTTTTCAATGTAATATAATATTCATTTCAACTTCAGTAATTTAAGCACAGATTAATCAAAACATTTCATTTAACCATATTGTCCATTTCATTATATGATTATATGATTAGTTACTCATATTGTTCACCCGTCTTGTTCTGTGAATAAAAAACAGTCTTAGATAAGAGTGAGCTTGCGAGGGACCTTGGCCAAGCAACAGTATCTTTCTTGCAGATTGAAAGCACCAGTTAAGACTTATGTCTCCAAATGGCCAGATACTGAAGAGGTCAGACTGTAGGTGAAAAAACTTCATTCAGCTGAAGAAAGCTCCCAGCCATCCAGGTTTTGATAGAGTCTAAGCAGGTGTGTAACAGCTGCGGCTTAGACATCTCATGGGGCTTGAAGGAGATGTACAGTTGGATGTCATCTGCATAAAGATGGTAGGAGATTCCTTTGAAGGAGCTCAGGATGTGCTGAAGAGGAAGCAGATTGAGGAGGAAGAGCAGAGGCCCCAGCACAGAACCTTGTGGGACACCAAGGGTAAGAGAGGTGCCTTTTCACCCTGTACACCTCAGACTTCCAGTACAAACCAGAGACCTGTCATCTACAGAAATACTTAGATGACTCTGCAGTTGTCGGGTGTATCAGAGATGGACAGGAAGCTGAGTACAGAGAGCTGGTGGAGCGCTTTGTGGCATGGTGTGGAAACAATCATCTGACCTTGAACGTGAACAAAACAAAGGAGATGATTTTAGACTTCAGAAGAAACAGGGTGGAGTCAAACACTGTTTCCATCATGGGAGAAGAAGTGGAGGTGGTTGAGGAATACAAATACCTTGGAGTTCACCTGGACAACAGACTGGACTGGAGAAAGAACAGCAAAGCCGTTTACAAGAAGGGACACAGCAGACTGCACTTCTTGAGGACGCTTAGGTCCTTCAATGTCTGTAGCAAGATGCAGCAGATCTTCTACAAGTCTTTTGTTGAGAGTGTAATCTCTTCAGCCATCGTCTGTTGCGGTAGTAGCATCAGAAGCAGGGACCTGAAAAGGCTCAACAGCCTAATAAGCCTAATAATAAAAAAGGCTGGTTCTGTTCTGGGGACGACTGTGGAACCACTGGAAGAGATAATGCAACGGATTCTCCAGAGAATCAAGAGAATTATGGACAACCCTGAGCATTCTCTTCACAAGACTGTCCGACAACAGAAGAGTGTCTTCAGTCAGAGGCTTCTTCAGTTTCACTGCAACACTGACCGCTACTGGAGATCCTTCCTGCCAACAGTCATTGTAATATACAACTCTTTGATGACTTGATTATTATTATTATTCTGAGCTACTACAGCAATCAATTTCCGTCTGGGATTAATAAAGTATTTTTGAATTTGAATTGAATTGAATTAGATTGGGTGTCATCCATGTTTTGCAGCAGAGGGAGAACAGATGTTGGTTCTCATTGTGACTCTGAAGGTCTCAAAATGAGCTCCTTAGCAGATTTCCTGAACGGCTTCTGAATAAACCAAATGCCATTTAGTCCAATCAGCATACACACCAGGTGTGACACGAATCCAGCTGTGGAGCTCTAGAAAGTTTCTGCATTAAGTCTATTTTTCCAGACAAGGTTAGCAGATTGTCATTGAGTCAAAGAAATGACATGAGCCAGACAGGAAGGGAGATGTGCTTTAGCCGGCTAGAGCCAGTATATTGGAAACGTGGCAAGGAGGAGTAACGAGGGCCCAGTTGGGATTTGATCCCCAGGCTCCCGGGTGAGAGTCATGCGAGCTAACCAGTCAGCCAAAGGGAACGTCTCTGTGGCCAAGTAGCCAGGGCGCACGAATTGGGATACAGTGACGGGATGCTTACCCTGTCACATAAAGTAAAACCCATGTTGCATTGTTTTTTCACTTTTCATACGTCGCCAGGCAGCTCCCGACGTGCTTTTGTTGGTGTTGTGTAAGTCCAGACGTGGAATGGATTAGGGTTACCTGATCATCCACTAATCCACCTGAGAGCCAACAGAGGTAGTCACCGAGCTGAGTAGGTGAGTGTGCAGTGGGAGACAGCAGGTGTAGTGTTGTGGGAATTTATTAGAGACTTATCACACAATAAAAAAATAGCCCTGGATTAAATCAAAAATGTTTTTAATCTTATTGCAATGAGAAGAAACAAACCATGAAGCATAAAGACCCCTGCTACACACCTGGTAGCAACGTCATGGTTAATCAGAAGTGAAACAGATGTCTCAGAGAAACTAAAAATAGAAAACTAAAATATCAGGTATCTCCAACAAGCTGTAACAGCTGAATTTATCTAAAAGGACAGTAGAGCACACTCATAACACATTCATGATGAATTACACTAACAGTTCAGAATGTTTCATTGCACAGAAAATGAAATGCACATAACCCTTCTAATAAGACCATCATGTCCCGTGGAGGATCTTTTTTGACGCCAATGTTACATTTCTCACATCGCATTACTTGATTGTGTGGCAAGAAGTGGTGTATTTAGCCTACAATTCAATTGTTTTGCACATCTGGAGGATTTAGCGAAGCAGATGCATCATTCTTGATGTGTGGTTGATTAGATCAAGCCTCCCACGGGCCGAACAAAGTTTTATTGGAATTTCCAACGCGAAGGTATAGCAAAATACTAAAGATTTGATTGTGGGTGACCGGAACTCTCCATAGAAAGCCTTGATTCCTGCATCAACGGACAGTTTGTGAGGCTCATTTTGTTCATAGTTAGTCCTTCTATTGCTCACTGAACTGGAACCACTCTGAACCCTGTCATTTATTCTCTAACCCTAACCCTAATCTAAACACACAATTCCATCTCTTCCACTTTTACAGCTACTTCAGAATTTATTTTCTTTGTTTATGTGAATATAAACCGACTGCAGTCAGTAAATTACCCTCTATGTCCATGACACACTTACAGGTAAATATCTATAAAAACAGTCTTCACGTAAACAATCGGAATTCTCCAGGAATTGAAAACCCAACAGAATACAAATAGAAAATAAAACTAAATACCTTCAAAAGGAAATCAAAGAAGAGATTTTGAGAGAAAATCTAGATCAACAGTTTACAAATCAGTACAGTACACCATGAGATTATCACTAAGCATCATTTTTTTTTCCTATTTTATAATTTGTGGTAGGGCTGGGCAACAAATGGAACATTTATTGTTATAGAAATTTCTGACTTTTATCGTGATAATTTTTGCCATGTCAATAAATTTGATAATAAAAAATGAAGAGGTGGGTGTAGGTTGGCAACGCTCATGTCCCTTTAAGAAGCTGTACCGCCTTGAGTTGTGTAAAAATGTGACTCAATGTAATACATGTGACAGCCCCATCTAGTGGACAACTTTTGTTTCTGCGCTTACCTGTAGTTATCCTTATCAAGGTGAAATCCTCAATATATCACAATATTGATTTTAGGCCATATCGCCCAGCTCTAATTTGTGGGGAAAAAAGATAATCTGAGTTATTTCCATTGGCTAAAATAAAACACCTAAATGTGATAGGAAAACTTCATTTTTATTTTCACAATTATTAGTCTAGTTTGTACATGTATGTTTGGGCGACGGTGGCAGAGGAGTGTCCGCCCCGTAATCGGATGGTTGCAGGCTTGATCCCCGCTCAGTCTGTCCCTGTTATTGTTGGGTGAATGGCTGATTGTGTTGTAAAGTGCCTTGGGTGGGGTGGTTCTACAACTCTAGAAGGCACCATTTCAAATACAAGCCATCTTCCCCATGGCAACCTTTAATTAGAAAGGTTACAGAATCTTGCACTAGCTCACCTCAGTTTTATAATCCACAAAACACTGGAGCCTCGAAATGATTTCACCCTTGAGGCACCCTTGGTCAGAAACTTATTTTATCCTCAGAGGGACATGGGACTCCAGGCTGTCAGTCAACTTTAAGCAGAGAAAATTATCGGAAAATCCCTCTTTCTGTCAAGGTACCACGTCCTAGTAGGATTGACAGCCCTCACTGCTTTCGCAACAAAATCACTTTCTAAATGCCAGCTATAACTCTCCTACTGTCCTAATGGGCGTGACCCCGCGAGGAAAGCTGACCATTGAGCAGGGTTGATGATTTATCCCTTGGGTCCACGTGGCAGGGGTGAGGAGTGAGGACCACCTCACCCCTGCTACGAGGACCTCAAGGGATAAACCATCAATCCTGCTCAATGGTCAACTTTCCTCGCGGGGTCACCCATAAAGACAGTGGAGGGTTAAGCACTAATCAGGCATTGGTTAATACTAACACACTGTGTAAATTTGTGGGACGAGTGAAAATGAATGGAAATGTGGGAGTATCCTGCAAAAGGAGGAACATCTGGTTACCCTAGCTAGGGTCCAATCCTGGAACCACTGGCTAAAAAACTGAAGAGATCTGTAGTTATATTTATGCAACTCAAAAAGTACAAACTATTGGTAAAAGACCACTACTTCTATACTACAAAAACAGTTTAACAGCTAAGTATATATGTCGTGCTTAACTCTCTCTGTTGCAACACTCCAAATGTGAAATTTAAGGACCACAGCTCAGGCTGCAGAACATCACTGTAAAATAATGAGCCATGCATACAATGAGGCACCGCCTATATATGAAAACAGGGATTTACAAACATAAACAGCTTGGGAGCCAGGATATGTGGTATGCAGGCCAGAAAGAAGTGCCCTGTGAACTGGATGCAGCCCTGATCTGCTACCAGGCGCCAGGGAAAAAAATACTGACATAGGATGTGAAAACTACAAGGGTCTCTTCTTGATACTCTTGTAGTAAAATGAGTTATTTGTTTGCCTTGTGGACTAACGCGTGACTGTTTAAATGCTCCTTTCGGCTAAATCTTTGTTCACAGAGCTCACAAGCAAATGGTTTATCTCCAGTGTGGACACTCATGTGTCTGCTTAAATTTGTCTTTCTGCTAAATTGTTGTCCACAGCGCTCACAGGAAAAAGGTTTCTGTCCTGTGTGGACTCTCATGTGTCTGTTTAGATGTGTCTTTCGGCTAAATTTTTGTCCACAGAGCTCACAAGTAAAAGGTTTCTGTCCTGTGTGGATTTTCATGTGGCTGTTTAAAGTTGTCTTTTGGCTGAATTTATGTCCACAGTGCTCACAGGCAAAAGGTTTCTTTCCTGAGTGGACGGTCATGTGACTATTTAAACTTGTCTTTTGGCTAAACTTTTGTCCACAAAGCTCACAAGTAAAAGGCTTCTGTCCAGTATGGACTGTCATATGAATGTTTAAAGTTATCTTTTGGTTAAATCTTTGTCCACAGGTCTCACAGACAAATGGCTTTTGTCCTGTGTGGACTCTGGTGTGTCTGTTTAAATTAGTCTTTCTGCCAAATCTTTTTCCACAAAACTCACAAGCAAAAGGCTTCTGTCCTGTGTGCACTGTCATGTGACTGCTTAATGATGTCTTTCGGCTAAATCTTTGTCCACAGGTCTCACAAGCAAAAGGCTTCTGTCCTGTGTGGATTCTCATGTGAATGTTCAAACTCGTCTTTCGGCTAAATCTTTGTCCACAGGTCTCACAAGCAAAAGGCTTCTGTCCTGTGTGGACAGTCCTGTGATTGTTTAAACTAGAGATTTTACTAAATTTCTTTTCACAGTCATCACAACTAAACGACTTTTTTTCTTTCTGGACTTTCTTGCACGAGTCTACGTGTTGTTTCACTCGAGCACATTTCTTATTAACCAAACTGCCTGAAGACCTTATTGTTGTATGACCTTTCACTCTCAAATGTTTCCGCAGAGACTGCTTGTGGAGAAATTGTTTACCACATTCTGTGCAGCTAAATGATTTGTGGACAGTCTCAACATCTGACTCAGAAGACCTGCTCTCATTCAGTTCATTGCATCTGTCTCCAGTTTTAGGAACACCGTCTGAACCTGCAGAGTCTAGATTCACATCTTCATCCTCTTCATCATCCTCACTTTTAATAGTAACTACAGTGAATGGAAACCTGGAGGCACCAGTCTCCTTCTCTTCCTCCAGACTGGTCCAGAGTTCATCTTGTTCCTGCTTTATGTGGAGGTGTTCTGGGTCCTGCTGGTCGAGAGCAGAACTCTGTTCTTCCGGATCTTCTTCTTTAACCAGCATCAAAAGTTGAATATCTGTAAGAAACACAGAAAAACATGATATGAATTACCAACCACTGTCACTTTATTTTCAGACATAGTGACTTTTTCCATGAGATGAAAATACATTTTTTTTAAAATATAGGTTTCGTAGAAATAATTAGTTATTTTCCAAATTGTTGAGAACCTGAAACATTGATTCAAAACGGCTGTATCGTACATTTTTACAAAATCCAGATGCACAGTAGGCACAGTATATGATACAATATTACTGTAGTTGCTATTGAGATGTCATTTATTTCCTAAATATGCTATTTTTAGAGCCATTCTTTCAACTGGGAAATAAGACACTTGGATCTGATGAAATCCCACATTCACCTAGTATGTGAATTCCACCCATTTCATAATGTAATCCAACAAAGCAGATTGCTCAACATGCCAGCCATAGTGAACTGTCTACTGGGAGCTCCTGGACTGGGACATTTCTTGGTGGCCTGGCTGCTGAACTATTTCCCCCCCCCCCCCCCCCTGGCTTTTATTAACATGTTTTCAGTGAACAAAAACACATCCCTGTTATATCAACATTTCTTCAAGTATACAGAGAGAATGGAAAGTTTTCAGACCCACCATTGATTTTTCACTGTTATTTTGCAGCAATTTGCTAAAATGATTTTTTTTCCTCATTAATGTACACACAGCACCCCATAGACACAAAAACAGACAAACTGAATATTGAGAGAATGATGAATGCGGACAAGTACAGGGATATCCTGGACAAGAACCTTCTCCAGAGAGCTCAGGACCTCAGACTGGGCCGAAGGTTTACCTTCCACCATGACAATGACCCTAAGCACACAGCTAAAATAACAAAGGAGTGGCTTCATGGCAACTCTGTGACTGTTCTTGAATGGCCCAGCCAGAGCTCTGACTTAAACCCAACTGAGCATCTCTGGAGAGACCTAAAAATGGCCGTCCACCACTGTTCACCATCCATCCTGACAGAACTGGAGAGGATCTGCAAGGAGGAATGGCAGAAGATCCCAAATCCAGGTGTAAGAAACTTGTTGCATCTTTACCATGAAGACTCACGGCTGCATTAGCTCAAAAGGTGCTTCTACTAAATACTGAGCAAAGGGTCTGAAAACTTAGGATTAGGATCATGTGATATTTCAGTTTTCTTTTTTAATAATTCTGCATTAATCTCAAATTATGCATTTTTCTGTTAATGAGGCACTGTCTGTACATGAATGAGGAAAAAAATCAATTTAATTTATTTTAGCAAATGGCTGCAATATAACAAAGAGTAAAAAACGGACAGAAGTCTGAATATTTTCTATACCCAGTGGTTGTTAACCTATTTAGGTCTCCTGATATTATGGAATCAACAGATAAATGGAAAAAGAAAAACAGGAGAACCACATCATAGCAGCAAGTGTCTATGATCGAACAGCTCCTCAATTAAGGTGTCAAATTTCCTTGCATCCCTTGTTCGGTGTCACACAATGTCCGTCTTTCCCTTTTCGTTACAACGATATCTTCTTTTAGTCTGAGTATGAAGGTAATTTGTTCCATCGTTTAGATTTCTCTGATATTCAGCCACTGCTGTACGGAGGAGGCAGATTTCTGGAAACCTGGTTCCAGGGTTGATTTAAGAGTATCTTCATCGAATAAATGTCTTCATGTAAAACATATGTAATGAGAAAATATAATACATTGATTAAAGAGATAAACTGTTATGCATTGAACACTCCAATCAACATAGGAATTACTATGTTATTTGAGAAAAGGTACACATTTTTATTTATGCCATCATCACTGCACATGGTTTTATTATGATCAGTTGTCTTTAGAAATTCCATCCATCCATCTTCATCCGCTTATCCGGAGTCGGGTTGCGGGGGCAGTAGCCTAAGTCGAGAGGCCCAGACTTCCCTCTCCCCAGCCACTTGGGCCAGCTCCGGGGGAATCCCAAGGCGTTCCCTGGCCAGGTGAGAGACATAGTTCCTCCACCGTGTCCTGGGTCTACCCTTAGGTCTCCTCCCAGTTGGACGTGCCCGGAAAACCTCACCAGGGAGGCGTCCAGGAGGCATCCTGACCAGATGCCCGAGCCACCTCAACTGGCTCCTCTCGATGTGGAGGAGCAGCGGGTCTACTCCGAGTCCCTCCCGAATGACCGAGCATCTCACCCTATCTCTAAGGGAGAGCCCAGCCACTCTTCGGAGAAAACTCATTTCGGCCGCTTGTATCCGTGATCTCGTTCTTTCGGTCACTACCCAAAGCTCGTGACCATAGGTGAGGGTAGGAACGTAGATGACCGGTAAATTGAGAGCTTCGCCTTCTGACTCCTCTCTCTCTTCACCACGATAGACCGGTACAACGCACGCATCACTGCAGATGCAGCACCAATCCGCCTATCGATCTCACGCTCCAGTTTTCCCTCACTCATGAACAAGACCCCAAGATACTTAAACTCCTCCACTTGGGGCAGGACCTCATCCCTGACCCAGAGAAGGCTTTCTACCCTTTTCTGAATCAAGACCATGGTCTCAGATTTAGAGGAGCTGATTCTCATCCCAGCTGCTTCACACTCGGCTGTGAACCGCTCCAGCGAAAGCTGAAGATCACGTTCTGATGAAGCCAACAGGACCACATCATCTGCAAAAAGCAGAGACCTGATCCTCAGGTCACCAAAACGGATGCCCTCCGCACCTTGGCTGCACCTGGAAATCCTGTCCATAAAGGTTATGAACAGAATCTGTGACAATGGGCAGCCTTGGCAGAGTCCAACTCTCACTGGGAACGAGCCCGACTTACTGCCAGCAATGCGGACCAAGCTCTGACACCGGTCATACAGGGACCTAACAGCCCGTATCAGAGGGCCTGGTACCCCATACTCCTGGAGTACCCCCCACAGGGCCCCCCGAGGGACGCGGTCAAACGCCTTCTCCAAATCCACGAAACACATGTAGACTGGTTGGGCTAAGTCCCACGCACCCTCCAGGTCTTTAAAAATTATTTTAAAAAATTACATCTGCAAACTTAACATGCTTTTGAAATACAGCACTAATGTATTTATGCCTTAGTATGTTTATGTACATATTCCTTAAAAAATACAGTTTAGACCTAAAATAGTCAAAAACAATAAGAGCAATTTCTACACATTGATTCTGATCAATTTGATGTTATGAAATCTGACTTTATCTTGTATGTTTGCACCATTCCACCAAAGCAAACTCCTATTACTGCGAGACTCTCACTTCCATGGCATAAAATATGATTGTGATTTCAGTGTGTCCAAACGTTTGACTGGTAATTAGGGATGCACCGATGGATCGGCATTTGATCCCAATCGGCCGATAGCGCCCCTATCGGTTTTGATCGGAGTTTTCAAAATTGATCAAAGCAGACCGATCAGGTAGGGTGGTCACGGTAACCGGTGTAGCGGTAAACCCCGGTAAAAAAAAGTTGACAATAATAATAACCATCTTGTTTTAAAAAAAACTATATTATCTCGGTGGGTTTGCCGTGGCTGTGGTGTAGGAGCGGTGACCCTTACCAGCCACCGTATCATCTGCTGAAGTTGCCGGCGGCACATGCGCACTTTGTTGTTTACAACCTAAACTTTCTTGACGCTAAAGCTGAAACAATGGCCAAAGGAGGAGACGGCAGCACTCAGAAGGACATTTTTTATCCCTCAAAGAAAACAAAGTGGGAAGTACGGGCATCTTTTGGATATCTGAAGAATGCCGAGGGACAGCTGATAGAAGACGGCTATCCTGTTTGCAACACGTGCAGAAAAAGTGTCTGTGAAAGGCAGCAACGCTTCAAATCTCATGACACATCTGCGTGACCATCACCCACAACTCTACAGTCAACACAAGGCAAGCTAACGTTAGCGCTTTAGCTAAAATGCGTGATTCGAGGATTTGGGTTGAGGGAGAATGCAACGAGTCACTATATAAAGCAGCCGCAGCGCCGCTACCTGCATATAAACCGTGTCGCGGACACCGCCATGTTGAAATGACGCTATGCATTACGGGGCTCCCAGGGGCAGATAAGAGTTGGTCTCTCTCCGAGAATAATTATGAATTTAACAATGATTACTGCCTGATGACATTTTCCCACATCTGCAAAGCTCACTGGAAGGACACAAACCGAGGACGATATTTTCCTGATATAGAGCTCCGGGAGTTTACGTCACGTCTCCCGGCATGCAACAGTTCAAATCGAAACGGCGCCATATTGGCATGCAGAAGCCGGCAGCTGGACTATTTGCTATTGTCAGAAAACTCAATCAAACGAGAAATATGGTAGATTCCTGTTGTGCCCCAGGATGCAGAACAGACGCGGACGACATAAGGAATGAGCCATCTACAGGATTCCCCAAGATCCGGAGCGCCGCAAACGTTGGATCATTGTAATAAAACGCGCTAGTGACCGGGTTAAAATGAAGCTGTGGGACCCCGAGAGTAAAGGTTTTCGCTTATGCAGCGACCACTTCATATCAGGTACTTAAACCAACGTTTCCTCAACTGTGTATGGTATTTATTTTAAATGCTTTTATTAAGATTCTTAGTGGGCTTCCTGAACTTATTTTGGCGTGGCTTTTTCTGTCTTATTACTCATAGCAGCAAGTAAACGTCACGTAAAACGTTGCCTCGTGAGTTCTGCGTGCTGCCGTTTACGTGTTTTATGATCACAGCAATTAACCGGCTAAGCTGTATTTAGTTTTTAAGCAATGGTTGATCAATTGTCAGATCACACATAAAAAGCACTTTGGATTGCGATTATCTGTCTCACCGAGACTACTTACGTGTAAATCTGTTATTTGTCCGTCCATCCATCCATTTTCATCCGCGTATCCGGAGTCGGGTTGCGGGGGCAGTAGCGTGACTTCCCTCTCCCCAGCCGCCGGAGCCAGCTCCTCCGGGTAAATCCCAAGGGGTTCCCCGGTCAGGTCCGGTGTTGTGCCGGTAAGAAGTCCGCTCCGACAGCTTCTGGCGTCGGAGCGGACAGTAGAGTCGAGAGTCCCAGAACTCTCCCCAGCTCCTCCGGCCGGGGGAATCCCAAGGGGTTCCCCGGTCAGGTCCGGTGTTGTGCCGATAAGAAGTCCGCTCCGACAGCTTCTGGCGTTTTTAAAAAGTATCCCAGGGGCACGGTAAGGGTCGGAGATGTTTAGTCTATTTAATTTCTGACTATATAAAACGATTTCTTCTGTTTTAAAGTGTGAAGTAAACTCCGACGAAGTAAAATCCAAGCGGATCCCGTTCATGTTCATGGTTACATCCGTGTTTGTTTACCTTTTTTGCATGCCAAAATGGCGTCCACTAACTGAGTCACGTGGGGTCCGGAGCTCTATAGGGTTTATTACTCAAGTAAGGGTAAAAAAGTATCTGATTAGAAGGCTACTTGAGTACTGAGTACCATCTGGTCTAATATTTTTAAAATGATGACATCAAACAGACAAAAAATAAGAAGTTATGGGCAAATATTGGTATTTTAAAGACTAAAGGGAAAAAATGTAAACAAATAAACAACATAATTACAAAATAACACATTTTAGGCAAAATTTAGACATAAACTGAGGACAACATTTCCTGACATACAGGGTTTATTTAATTGTGTGAAAATGTAGCACGTTTAAAAAAAATACTGCGATAATACCGAAAACCGTGGTAATTTTGGTCACCATAACCGTGAGGTACAATTTTCACACCGTGACAACCCTAATACAGACCATTTTAGATTAGGTTACATTTCCGTTATCCCCATATTATGTAGTTTGTAGCACTCATTATAATGTTGTAGAAAATTTCTGGCCAATCCACGTGATCGGTATCGGTGATCAGCATTCTTTGATATCGGTATCGGTGATCGGCAGCAAAAAACCTGATCGGTGCATCCCTAGTTTTAAGATCAGAAACATTTCTCCAAATTAAAAAAGCAGAAGTCGGCAACTCTCTGAATGAAGGGTGTCCAGATCCAGAAGGCACTTCCTTTCTGGGAAGTTCTCCCACAGACAACTCTTTGTGCACCAGTTGTTCTGCTGCACTGACCTTCTAGGGTTCTATAACCCCCCAAGGCACTTTACAACTCAACCAGTCCTTCACCCACACTTAACTGATATATTTCAGGCATGATTTCTGTACACTTCTTAAAAGTAACCTTCCCAACACTGGCTGAGAAATACTGGAGGAAAACTTTCCACTCACGTTCACACACACACACACACACATACACACACACACACACACACACACACACACACACACACACACACACACACACACACACAGTTGTGTAGCAGTACCTGTATCCGTGCTATCCAGATCCATATTGACCAGATGATCAGGTGAAGAACACACGACGAATCAAGCACAGCTGACTGATAGCTGATGATCCTGAAGTGGTTGTATTGGGTCGTGGTCAGCTGCAACAGAAACAAAGCAGCCGAGCTGATTACGATGCTGCTTCAGAATAAGGCGCGATATTTAAGATCCACCGGTTTTGTTCCGATTAGCTGAGGACAGATCCAGTCTGAAAAACAGAACTTTTGATCACTGACTCCACAGAGTCGAGCTAACGGTGCATGGCGCAAAACCCCACCGCTGAACGGAGTGAATGAACCAAACCGCGGTGACAAACAGCACATGCGCTACACACGGTCCTGCTCTAGGTTAAAACCTACACTCAAGGTCTAAATGTGCCCCAACCTCAGAATAACACGCAGAGCTGCACTTTGTTACACTCACATCATCTGTACGAGCAATAATCCAACCAGAAACACAAAGCAGGCCCTTTCTCAACCAACGCGACGCAGAATGAGAACGGCGCATGCGCCATGCTGTCGTCAGAAAAAGGCGATCTCTTAAAATAACAGTACTATTTATTTATTTATTTTTTTTATTTATTTATTTATTCATTTATTCATTTATTTATTTATTTATTTATTTATTTATTTATTTATTTTTAGGATATTGGTTCGTTAACAATACAGTCAAGATACACAATTGACTCAATGTCCACTATGAGGTACATGGGAACAGTATAAACATAACAAAAACATAGCAACTAATTCAACGCCAGGGGTTACTGCATACAAATTATGAAACATATGAGAATGATGATCGAAACAGGAAACAATACGAGACATGCAACAGAGTATGAATTATGGAAAGATTTGAAATTTCGAGCAGAGACTTAGTGTCTTAATGGCTTTGTTATTGTTCGAGGTGGAGATTGTTTTCAAATAAAGCTTAAGCTCTTTTTTCAAGACACAAAAGGAAGGTCTTGTTTTTAACACTTTACATTTATGGATGTAAAACTTGGTCAGCAATATGATAAGATTAGATATGAACAGTTCATTTTCCAAATCCCTCTGATAGTCTAGAAATCCAAACAGAACATTATGAAAATGTAATACAGAGGTCTCATGGATATGGTCCAATATAAATGACCCGCACTTGTGTAGCACCTCTCAGAGTAAGGACTCCATAGCGCTTTACACTACAGTGTATCATTCATCCATTCACACACTGATGGTGATGAGCTACAATGTAGCCACAGCTGCCCTGGGGCGCACTGACGGGGGCGAGGCTGCCGAGCACAGGCGCCACCGGTCCCTCCGACCACCACCAGCAGGCACGGTGGGTTAAGTGTCTTGCCCAAGGACACAACAGCAGAATTCTCTGTCCGGAGCCGGGATCGAACCTGCAACCTTATATTGCCCCTCAATATAAATCTACAGACGCCTTGCCATAGTTTCCGAGTGTGTTCACAAGTCCAGAACAAGTGGTTGATAGTTTCTGGGTGCTCCTTGCAGAAAGTACAGGATACATCAAAGTCCTTAATGAATCTCCTCAGGAATGTTTTAACAGGATAATAGCGATTAAGGAGTTTGATTGTGACTTCTTTGACTTTGTTTGTAAGCAAGTATCTGTCAGGAAGAGTCCATACTTTTTCCCACGACACATCTTGAACAAGTGAATTCCATTTAGGGAGAACATGTGGTACAGAAACACAATCAGCTAGAAAGAGGGAGCGAATCTGCTTATTTGGCCGTAATCTCGATAGAAAACAAAGTTTCCCTATAAATGTGTCACTTGGATCAGGCAAAGGGGTCATGTTAGACGGTGGGGTGGTATAACTTTTGAAAAGCATAATAACACCAGATGGAATAGCGTCGAAAACAATAGCAAATTCTTTAGTGGTTACAGGAGTTTTATAATGAGAAAGAAATTCTTGATAAGTAAATACATTTCCTTCCTTTATTAAAGAGCTGATTGATCTTTATAATGCCATTCCTAAACCAATTGTCAAAGAATAAGGATTTCCTTTTGTAACAGACATCTTTATTGTTCCATATAAGGTAATTATTAGGAGAAAAGTTTTGCTTATAAATTAGAGACCAAGCCAATAACATTTGTTTATGAAAATTTGAGAGAGAAACAGGTATACGTTCAATATTGTAGCTGCACATTAAGAGAAATTTTGGTCCACCCAGCTTAGAAAAGATTTGATGGGAAATGATATTCCACATAGACATAGGGTCTTTTAAATAATATTTAACCCTTTGATGCATAATGGTCACTACAGTGGACAGGTACTCAAAATAGTTATTTATTTGTTTTTGCTATTAAGAACAGCTGTTGAAGACTTTATTGCATTTGAGCCCCTCCATTTGGACTTCAGTAAGCCAAGACAACATATTTCATGCTCAGAATGCACGCTGTCCACCGAGGTGGACATGTAAAAAATTATTTGTAAATTATAAAATTTTACAAAAAATATTTTTTGAAATTTGTTTCATTCACACCTAAAGATGAATGAAAAAAATTGTTTAAAAATCATGGTTGAAGATTTCATAATTCATGCATCAAAGGGTTAATCCAATTAATTTTGAATGTGTTGTTTAAAATATTAAAGTAAAAAAAATTGAGTCCACCATTTTTGTAATTATTCATTAGTACTGATTTTTTAATATAATGAGTTTTGTTCTTCCAAATAAATTTATAAAGCATCTGATCAATTTCTTTTGTAACTGTTTTATTAACGTCCAAAGAAATGGCAGCATATGCAAGTCTGGAGATTCCTTCCGCCTTAGCGAGTAGTATTCTACCTTTTAATGAAAGGTCCCTTTGGAGCCACTGGTTAAATTTTTTTTGGTTCTTTCTAATAATTCAATTCAATTCAAGTTTATTTATATAGCGCCAAATCACGACAAGAGTCGTCTCAAGGCACTTCACATAATAAACATTCCAATTCACAGTTCATTAAGCCAATCAGAAATAATTTTTCCTATATAAGGAACCCAGCAAATTGCATCAAGTCACTGACGAGTGTCAGTGACTATACAGCAATCCTCATACTAAGCAAGCATGCAGCGACAGTGGAGAGGAAAACTCCCTTTTAACAGGAAGAAACCTCCAGAGGATCCTGGCTCAGTATAAGCAGCCATCCTCCACGACTCACTGGGGCTAATATTGGGGTGAAGTTCAGGTCACCTCTGTCTTTTTGTTTTTTTTGTTACAACTATTCCTAGGTACGTCACTTCTTCTTTAACTGGAATATTGCAGATGGAGGGTAGCTCACAGTTCTTGACTGCCATTAGTTCGCATTTATTTATATTTAGAGAAAGGCCCGAAGCTTTGGAAAAAACCTGAATAACATCAAGAGCGAGGGAGATTTGAGATGAGTCACGTAAGAAAAGGGTTGTGTCATCAGCCAGTTGACTAATAATGACTTCTCTATCTGCAATCGATATGCCTTTTAGGTCGCTCATTTTGATATGAGAGGCCAATAATTGAGTGGCCAGGATAAATAAAATATGACTGATGGGACATCCCTGACGTATCCCACGATTTAATTGAAACCTAGGAGATGTGCCATTCTTTAGTTTAATTGAACTGTTCCCCTTAGCGTATAAGGTTTTAATTGCTCTGCTAAAAAAAATCCCCAAATCCAAATTTCTCTAGTGTTTTGAAGATAAAATAGTGTTTGATGGAGTCAAATGCCTTGTAAAAGTCCAAAAAGAGGATAAAACTTTCATTGGAATTTAGTTCAGGGTAATCTATTATGTCAAGTACGAGTCGAATGTTGTTAGAAATGTGCCTGTTCCTCAAAAACCCAGACTGCGTCTCATCTATAATATTATCTAACACGTTTTTTAGGCGCTTAGCAAATATAATAGCTAAAATTTTATAGTCGTTATTGAGGAGACTAATTGGCCGCCAACTGTCAATAAGTGAGATATCCTTCTTAGGTTTAGGGATCAGGGTTATGAGGCCCTGTGATAGAGTTGGAGGGAGAAAACCTTTGGAAATCCTCTCATTAAAGATCTCTAATAAAAACGGAGCTAGCTCTTCAGAGAAGGATACGTAAAATTCAGAAGTGAGTCCATCCACCCCAGGAGATTTGTTGTTCTTTAAACTTTTAATTGACTCTAGTATTTCTTTTAAGGTGATTGGACTATTGCAGAACATTTGATCCGCCGTACTAATTGGAGCAATATTCGTTAAAGAGTCCAAAAAACAGCCAGCACTGTCATCACAATAACGAGAGCTATATAGCTCCTTATAAAAATTGGAACAGAAGTGTGCCATTCGATTAGCATCGTCACACAATACATTGTCTATTTTTAGTTGATGAATGGTATTATTTTTGGATTGGGATTTTTCTAGCCTAAAAAAGTATGCTGAATTCTGCTCTCCTTCTTCCAGCCATTGCTTCCTGGACCTTACAAAAGCCCCTACAGCTCTAGATTGATAGAGTTTATCCAGTTTATTTTGAAATTCCAATAGAGTTTCTTGTTCTTCAGGGGATAACTTATCTGGACAAATAGATGACATCTGTGTTATTTTAGAAATCACCTTTTCTTCTTCATAACGTTTGCATTTTGCTAGCTCACTGCAGTATTTTCTTAAAAATGTTCCAGCTTCAGACTTTAGAAGTTCCCATTTACTCCCATATACTTTTTCAGCCTGGGCCTCATTCCAAAAAGCTTGTATTAATTCCTTAACCTTGGTTTTTACTATGTCACGACACAAGATGAAGCTGTTGAGTTTCCAGTATGCATTATGTTGGCGTGTGGTGGAAGAATAACAGTACTATTGATTTTTCCCGTCAGTTTGAGCATAATTCACCAAGATACAACAACGAAAAAAAGCACACGAATATGACGTAATTGTCAAAAAAATAATAATTATAAAATAATAAATAAATAAATTACTAAAAAGAATTTAGAAAAACACAATGTTACAGCAACAAAGAACTTAAAAGGCTTTTGAAAACAAATCAAATCTTTATTTTTGTGTGACTTTTGTGTTTACTGTTCCTTCCTTAAAGGCACATCATGTGTTATTTCTCCTTGTTTACTATCAAATTCTATGCATCCCTTTCACAAACTTGTCTGTTTTCATTAATATTTCCCACCAGCGTTGATTCTAAATACTCCTATTTGTCGTGTATGTTGATGTAGGGTGCCGAATGAGAACACTTTGCTGCCGAGTTCAACTCCTTTATTTAGCTTCCAACATGCTAACTCCCTGGTTGTTTTCTCCTCCCGCTCTCTTGCTCCCCCGCCTGGCCACACCTTGTATTACTCCATTACGCCACACTATTAGCTTGAAATTTTACATTTATATATTAACGTGTGGTTGACCATCCATGTGCCATATTGAAATACCACAGCTGTTTAGAGACATATGAGATAAAATAATCCACATTTTGCTCCTTGAGCAGTGAGTTTACTCCGATCCCCTCCCGGATGACCGAGCTTCTCATCCTGAGGGAGAGCCCAACCACCCTGCAGAGAAAACTCATTTCTGCAGCTTGCATCTGCGATCTCATTCTTTTGGTCACTACCCAAAGCTCATGACCATAGGTGAGGGTTGAAATGTAAATCGACCGGTAGATTGAGAGCTTCGCCTTCTGGCTCAGCGCTCTCTTCACCACAACAGTTCAGTACAACAGAGACATAGCACCAATCCGCCATCTTTCCCTCACTCATGAACAAGACGCTGAGATACTTATGGCATGACTGTGCCAATGCTTTTAAATTGTTATGGGAAGGTTGGGAACAAAGATTATTTAGGGTCATGTTAATCTGTAAAGCACTTTGAGTAGCACTCCTTGTAGGAAAAGCCCTTGCAATGGAAATGAAGAGTATTACAATTTAATTAATGACCAGAGATATTAATGATCCATACCTGGCATGGACCCCATCTCTGGACCAGGGCTTTTAAAATCAGAAGAGAGTCCTTTTTATTACAGGGAAATTTAATACACTTTGCATGAACTGAGAGACAAGAGAATAGAGAGAGACCTCCAACGTTTAAGCGAAATTTATTATCTAAATTATTTTAAACAGTTTACAGGACTAACCCTCTAGTGATGGATGCGAAGGAAAGACTGTGGGGTGGAGTGTGTGTTGGTGCGATGTCAGTTCAGAACCTCCGTTCTGGAGAAGCGAGTCTGAGTGGGAGATGTTGTTTTGCTCCTAACTGATCACCGATTGAACCCTGGTCAGAAAACACATGAGATGCTATCTGTGCCGTTCTACTTTACCCGTCAGGGAGACTCCCGTACAGATCAGGCTGCCAGGTCCACGACCTTCCTACGGTACTGGAGCCGACGAAGCAGCGTCCTCAGCACGACAAACCAGTCTTGGATCCTCTCCAGGTAAAAACGGCAGGTGTTTCACAGCGTCAAAAGGGACCTCCCTTTGGGTCAGCGAGTTCAGCTTTTATTCTGAAGGAACCGTTGTTTTGTTGATAACGACAGGATTTTCCCAGCTTGGCAGTTCTCAGCTTAAAAGTAAAAAGTACAGATGGCCGATCCGTACTCCACTTAGCAATGATGAACATCAGAGGATTTTGAGAGCTGGCTGAATACTGAACTCAAAATGGCGTTGTTCTGACATTAATCTTTGATGTTTTCGATTCTGGACGGATCACAGCTGACAGATTAAATAAACACCAGAGAGACTCTGCCACGCTTCAGATGTGAAGGTTCTGATTGGATTTTGCGACCGGAATGTGTCATGATTGTTTATCTTGTGAATCAGCTGACTAGTGGCTACATCATTTCCTTATTAAACATTAATCATAACATTGTGATTTCACAGATCAGTCACGTAGTTATTATTGACTAACAATTGTTTTGATTAGCTTTATTAAAATAGAGTTCTTTGATTAATTAAAAGAAAAGAGTTCATTCTTCGTTCTTCTGTCTTCACTGCTGGAATGTAAACATTAGATGTGAATGCATGACCTTGGGCTGTTTCATGCACTCTGGCACTGTCAAACAGAACAGCTGCTAGAGGGGAGAAATGGTTCCTTTATCACCTTACACCCTTTATAAAGTCTGATTTGATAATCAGCGCAGTTGTGAGTAATTGATTATTCTTGGCAACACCACATGCTGTGCAAAACTCTCTCTGCTGCAAAACTCTAAAAGGGGAACCTAAAGACTGCAGCTTATTGTTTAACAATGCGCGTTGCATATTATATTGCTTTGCCTCTCAATGGAAATTGGGATTTAGTGAAAATCTTACAGCTTGGGATCTACAATATGAGGCTCACACACCAGAAAGAGGTGGCATGTGGGCCGGATGTGGCCTTGATCTAGGGTAAAAAACTGTTACCAGGTATACAAGTGACACCTAGGATATAATAACTAGAAGGGTTCTTTTATTCAGCAACAACGCACGACCTCAAGTGTGATATTGCTTTTATACAAGTTCTACTTGCTCATTTTTTATTTTTATGAGAACAATAAGCAACAACATATTATGATTTGTTCATTTATTTAATCATTTATCAGGCTCTGCCAACACAAATAGTCCCAACACGAAACAGAGACTCAGACAAGGCTGTTGCTAGGCAACACAAACATTTTCTACAATAACGGTTAGAACGCCTGTGCACAGCGGAGTGATACTGTTTGTAAACAGTCCCAGTGCTGTTATAGTCCAATATCAGCACTCTTGGAAAGTCTCTTGACCAATCAAATCACTCGGTCGGAACTGTTGTATAATCTGCTATATCTTTGAGTTCTTTGTGTCCTGTGTGAACTCTGATGTGTCTGTTTAAATTTGTTTTTCGGCTAAATCTTTGTCCACAGAACTCACAAGCAAAAGGTTTCTGTCCTGTGTGGACGGTCATGTGACTATTTAAATTTGTCTTACGACTAAATTGTTGTCCACAGAGTTCACAAGCAAAAGGCTTCTGTCCTCTGTGGACTTTCATGTGTTTGTTCAAAGCTGTCTTCTGACAAAATATTTGTCCACATAGCTCACAGGAGAAAGGTTTGTGTCCTGTGTGGACGCTCATATGTTTGTTTAATATTCTCTTCTGACTAAATCTTTGTCCACAAAGCTCACAGGCAAACGGTTTGTGTCCTGTGTGGACTCTAATATGCGTCTTTAAATATGTCTTTTGACTAAATCCTTTTCCGCAGAGCTCACAGGTGAAAGGCTTCTGTCCTGTGTGGAATCTCATGTGTCTGCTTAAACTTGTCTTATGACTAAATCTTTGTGTGCAGAGTTCACAAGCAAAGGGTTTCTGTCCTGTGTGGATTCTCATGTGACTGTTTAAATGTGGCTTTTGGCTAAATCTTTGTCCACAAAGCTCACAGGAAAAAGGCTTCTCTCCTGTGTGGACCGTCATGTGTCGGTTTAAAGTTGTCTTATCACTAAATCTTTGTTCACAGAGCTCACAAGCAAAAGGTTTATGTCCTGTGTGGATTCTATTGTGTCTGTTTAAATGTGTCTTTCGACTAAATCTTTGTCCACATTGCTCACATGCAAAAAGTTTCTGTCCTGTGTGGATTCTCATGTGTTGATTTAAAGTTGATTTTCTATTAAACAATTTTCCACATTCCTCACAACTAAATGATTTTAGTTCTACCTGGATGTTCCTGCGTGAGTCTTCATGTTGATTCACGCCAACTGAATGACTCGTCACTCTAGCATGTTTCTGGAGTGACCACTTATTGAGAAATTGTTTACCACACTCAGGACAATCAAATGATTTGTTGACACTCTCAACATCTGACTCAGCAGAGCTGCTCTCATTCCAGTCATCGTCTCCATCTCCAGTTTCAAGCCCAGAGTTTGATAGATCAGAGCCTAAATTCACATGATCATCCTCTTCAGCATCACCACTAACTTCAGTCTCTGAAGAATCAGACGCCCATTCATGAGGGTTCAGATGTGTGTTCCTGTTAGTTTCTGCTCCTCCACCAGTTTCTGCTGAGCTGCTGGTTGGAACATCTCTGTCTTCTGTTTGCTGCTGATGAAGCTGAGAGTACACAGGTTTCTCTTCATCATCCTCACTCTTTATAGAAAATGCAGTGTATGGAAACCAGGGAGCATCAATCTCCTCCTTCAAATGGAGCTGCATATCCTCCAGATTGGTCCACAGTACCTCCTGTTCCTTCTTTATGTGGAGGTGCTCTGGGTCCTGCTGGTCCACATCAGGAGCCTCTTCTTTAACCAGCACAATTTGTTGAACATCTGCAGAAAACACCAAAACACACAATGTGAATTACTGGCCGTTCTAACTTTACATAAAAATATAACACTTGTATTAAAGGGCAGAAATGAGCTAATCTGACTTGTAATGTTATAGCAGATATCATTTCTGTCTCAGGCTAACCAGTAAGTGGAATACAATAATTTTTAGGGATGCTCAATATTGGCTTTGTAACCAATATTGTCTAACTCTTCATTTGCAATTCCCATATAAACCAAAAGCGATACATGCAGCCCCCCCCCCCCCCCCCCAAACACACACACACAATAAAAAAGGAGAAAAACAATCATTTTTTAGGTTGCTAACATCACATGTTGCCTTTCATGAATGCTTTAAACATTATCCGAGCAAAATTGCAACTACTTCAATTTGTACATGTACAGTAGGGAATACAGTCGGTAGTGTCGTCTCTCCCTTGCCCTGCCTCCAACATGCCTCCATCTAAAAGGCTAGGTTATCCAGAGTTATCTCTGTAGTTATGCTGCTATAGGCTTAGACTGCTGAAGGACACACTGACCACTTTCCACACTCTACTACTTTCTTCTACAGTTTGTTCTTTAACTGTATTTCAGCTGTTAACTTTATTTTTTCTCTAAGTTTTTCTCCCCAGAAGAAGTTACAATGGTGTTCTGCTGAGCTGTGGTGGCCTCATGGAGGGGGCCATCGGCTCGAACGCTGCTGCTAGCCACTTAAACATTCTCCTTCTCCTGATAATAACGTTTTACTTTACTGACATGGAATGTGCTACTACTAGTTTACCCGTTGAGTTAATTATAGATTCATTAAGATAAAGACAATGATGTTTATCTCTTACCAAATATAAAATTTACTAAAAAACGTTATCTTAAACAGTTTATTTAGCTGCTGGAGCAGATTAAAACGATGATGCCTCACACTTAGATCGTTGTCGCTGGTTTCATCTTCACCCAATCACCCGTCGCATTTAGTAAAGTGAAGCCAAGCTTTAGAGCGCGTTCATGTTCTTCTAGTCGGAGTTCCGAGGAGAAAGCGAACGCACCATTAGTGAAACGGAAGCTAACAAATCAAGCTAACGTTATCTTAAACATTTTATTTACCTACCGGAGCAGATTAAGATGAGGATGTCTCACTAGATCGTTGTCGCTGGTTTCATCATCACCCAGTTACCCATCACATTTAGTGAAGTGGACCCAAGCTTTAGCCTTCGTTTTTCTACCACGCTGTTGCGCATGCGCAGCTGTCTAGGCAAGTTCTCGTTATGAAGGACGGGTACCGAAACGAGGCACCGTTTCAAATAAAGTGAATCGGTGCTCGGTCGGTACTGTGGAATTCGGTCGGTACCTTAAAAAGTACCGAATTCGGTACCCATCCCTACCTCTGATGGCTACTTCCAGCAGGATAATGCACCATGTCATAAAACTCCAATCATTTCAAATTGGTTTCTTGAACATGACAATGTTCATGACACTGTACTACAGCGGCCCCCACAGTCACCAGATCTCAACCCGATAGGGCAGGGGTGCCCAATCCTGGTCCTCGAGGGCCAGTCTCCAGCATGTTTTAGTTTTAACTCCGCTTCAACACACCTGATTTCAATCAGCAGGTGATTAACAGGCGTCTGCAGAGCCTGATGAGATGCTGCACAGGTGATTCAACCAGTTAATCAAGTGAGTTGGAGCAGAAAAACCACAAAACCTGCTGGATACCGGCCCTCCAGGACCAGGATTGGGCACCCCTGCGATAGAGCATCTTTGGGATGTGGTGGAACAGGAGCTTCGTGCCCTGGATGTGCATCCCACACATCTCCATCAACTGCAGGGTTTCCCCCAACGCTTTATAAGCCCACCCGCCAGGCTAAGCGTCATGCCCCGCCCCCCCTCCCCGACCTTACCATGTCCACTGACACGAACGACGCTGCGAAACTAGAGCCATCCATCAGCTGATACTGGCGAGAAACAGCAGCAGAACGTGTGCAACCACCCCCACCCCCGCTCTCACAGAGGAGCGCTGCGGGACGAAACCCTGAACTGCAAGATGCCATCCTATCAATACGGGCCACCATTTCTAAAGAATGCTTTCAGCACCTTGTTGAATCAACGCCACGTAGAATTAAGGCAGTTCTGAAGGTGAAAGGGGGTCAAACACCGTATTAGTATGGTGTTCCTAATAATCCTTTAGGTGAGTGTATATGAAACAGCATCGCTGCAGTACTTTTATTTAGAAATTTACCGGGGATTTTACACTGAAACTGTGTGCGATTTCCCGTCTAGCCCTATGTTAAATGCGGAAATTGATGCATCCCAGAAGCGGCTCGCGGCAGAAATAGAACCCGATCGGCGTGCTGCTTCTGGGACGCACCCAGAAATCACCGTGCCGCTGCTGGTTTGAAACAGTCCATAGACTGAAGCACTGACGTTACGCTGCCGCTACGCACTGCTGATGCTTTCAGTGTATAACCAGGTTCCACAGTTTACTAATCCCCTCATGCTGTTTATTTATCACAAGCCAAAATGGGGCTTGGGAGTATTTCTCATGAGAAAATGATAATATCATATGGTAAAAAGCTGCAAAAAGTGGATTTTCCATGATGAAGCCCCTTTAAATATTCAGACTTGAAAATTGTTGTTCAAGCAAGCTACATTGTAAAAGAAAAAAAATGTAATGTCAGTGCACGCACACACACACACACAAACAGACAAACGCACACACACACTAGCGTAGCAGTACCTTTATTCATGCTGCCCAGGTCCATATGGAACAGACGTGTGGTTCACGTGAAGAACACACGATGAATCAGTCACAGCTGATCGATGATCCTGAAGTATTTTTTTAAGTCATGTTTGGCTAACACCTGCAATAGCGACAGATCAGGAGAGGTGATTAGGAACGCAGAAGAAGTCATAAGATTAACGGTGTGGTTCTAATCAGATGAGGACATATCCAGCCGTTACATCACAAAATGAGACTTCCTTTACAACAGATGCTACAGATGTTCCATCCATTTGCTGGTGCCTATCTCCAGCGGGCAATCAGGCGGGGTGCACCCTGAACAGAGAGCCAGTCCATCGCAGGGCTGCTACAGATGTTATTTGAGCATTTACGTTTATCTAGGAGTCATTTTCTCACAATCAGACACCTAAATGATGGGTGTTTTTTATTTAGTACTACCACATTAGAAGATGTTATTCAGCTGTGTTGCACTTTATTCTTCCATCAAGTCCAGATTACACGAAGCAAACACACATTTTTTTGTAATATCTTGTAATCCAGGAAAGAGACTAATCCTTTCAGGAATCAACGTTTCTGTTTGACACCTGCCCAGTAGGATTACAGTCCAGAACGGATAAAAAGAAAAGAAATGGGACTCCTTTGGAGCATTTAGATGGATGTGGGCACCGGAGGATTTAAGGATGCCATGGTTAAAATGCAAGGTATGATAACTTCGTAATACTGTAACACTTAAGCATCAAATAGAAGGACATCTTGTTCTTTATTAAAGTAGTCCAACAAACAGCAGGGTCAACGCTGCATTGCTCCCTCCAACTCCCATAAACTCTAAACATGTAATTACATAACACTTTACCGATTATTACAATGTTTTGGAATATTTTCAAATGTTTTCCTGTGCCGCTTGATCATTCCTAATATTTGATGATGGCTAATAATTTTCCAATTATTTGGTAATGCTTCCTTTTACAGTCCCCTAATTAATAAGTACTTACATGGTAATTACATAGTAAGTTAAAGTGTAATATTGTTTCAGAGTTCTTAAACAGTTATTTTCATGTAACTCAGGTTCAAATCTAGTTTTTATTTTTCTTAATTCCCAGTTTATACAGCTTTACACAATTATTGCACTTTATTACAATCATACACTTTAATTAAACAATAATAAACTAACAATGTAATTACTATGCAAGTACTTAGTAATTAGGGAACTGTAAAAGAAGCATTACCAATTATTTTTACAATCAGTTTTGTGGGTTTAATACATTGCTCTAAGAAGAGAGACTGTCCAATTTCCAACTGTACTGCACCACATACAGTATTTTGATTAAACTGCATGAGCAGAAAAACTTTCTCATTTTCCAAATACAACTACCCGTTGTGACTCATACATCGAATGAATAATTTGTCCTCCAAATAGCTTTTCCATGTTTCTTATGCAACATTGCTCATTTTCATTTGCAGTTCAAATCAAACTGTCTCGTTCATTTAACACACCAGGATTGATTTTGAGTAATGTGGTCACATAACATAGAAGCTACTGAATAAAAAATACACACTTGTTATTAAAATATGAGATTCTATAAATATGTTAAAACTGTTGAGTCTCATTGATTTAGTTTACTAACACAACTAGATATAGATTTTGAGTCATGTGGTCAAATGATCTTGGAACTATTGTGGGTGCGTGCGTGTGAGTTTTCTATTGACTAGAAATTTGTTGATGGTCCCTAAAGGCCGGGGACACACCGGCCGCCGAAGCGCCGGGAGGCCAGCATCCTGTGATGGGACTAATAACATCAAGAGATAATAAATAAAGTAATATTTAGGTAAATTTAACCCTTTACAGGTGACCAGGACCTTGTAATCAATTTTTGGCAAGGGAAATTATCTTTTTTTTGTGTGCCATTTTTGGGGTGTTTATGATGATACACAGTAGACAGTATGAGTACAGTAACATCAACAGATAATACATAACACCCTTTTTGGTCAATTTTAGCCTCCGTGAAAATCTGAGCGATTCAATCACTATTTTGCAAGTAAAATGCCAATTTAGTTGTCTACAATTAAATCATCAATAAAAAATTGAAAGATATTTTGAGGCGTTTTTATAGGTAAACAGGAGCCGTATAGTCACTATTTGGCAAGTGACAATCTTAATTTTACGTGCTGAAGTGCTTTAATCTTGTTACTTTTAAATAGAGCAAAGTAATGTATAGATAGTAACCTACACAGTGTCATTAAAGCCAAAGCTTGGTCAGTTTAAAACTATTTTTCAAGTAAAAATGTGCCCCATACTAGCTAACTGTGGCTCCATGTCAAATGGACTAAAGAAAGGAAGGGGAAAAAAATCAAATCGCTGGAGAATTGTTTGTTTATACAACGTTTGACTTTACATTCAATACAGGGCGCCATTTTACATTGTTTATTTATTTTTTAGTATCAAGGCTGTAACATAAAGAAAGCCAGTTCTTACCACAAACCACCTTTCAATCGCAAATATTGCAAAAAGGATTAATATATCCTCATTGTGAACGTTTAAGACAAATAGCAACACTTAAAACAACTTCCGAACTGGACAAAACTAATATCCGCGATAAACATCTGTTTAAGTACCGGAAGAGGTTATCTCTGCTTTCTCAATGTCCATATTGCTAGATATGCCGAGTTTTAAGGCGAAATCCTGGGGAATTTCGTCTAGAAATGCAATTACCCTAACCGTGCGCGATCCCGCGGTGGCTAATCAGTTTTTGGCAGCCAGTCGCTTTTGGGCACAACACCGGTGTGTCCCCGGTCCCCGGCGTAAGCCGACCACTGTTTTCAGGAAAGAGTGCGCGGAGCAGAGCTAACGCCAGACTTTGTGACAGCTCACCGTATGAAAACCCATCGCTGACCGTAAACCACGGAGTGACTGCCCGTCGAATATCCAACACAGACCTAAAATCACCCCGGTGAAAATAACAACACGTCTAGTAAACACGACCCCGCTCTAGGATCAGCAAACATCAGTTCAAAGTGAGACTTTCTGAGTCCCAACCTCAGAATAAAAACTGCATATTACAGAACTCACATCGTCTGTACAAAAAATAAAAATAAAAAAGGAATTTAAATCCAACCAGAAAAAAGTACCAGACCTTCCTTCCTCGCAGCGATGTGCAGAATGAGAAACGCGCATGCGCGGAGCTGTCGTCAGAAAAAGGCGTTCGTTCTCTTAAAGTGACAGTACTATTTATTATGTAGAACAATGCTCACAGAAGACCCAATAAACAACTGAGTGATTCCCTTAGAGATATTTACTTACTGAAAAATAAACCCTATAAAATATTCTTAATACACAAAGACGACCTCCCTCCCTCACTGGGTTCAGGGAGCTTTATGTCCATCTGATCCGGGCCTGGGAGGAGCGCAGGATTGGGGGTGGGTACGAGTCTCCATTAAACCGAGAAGAGAAGAAAGAAAATGCGAGAGCCGACGCAGCGCCCTGTGGAAACTTTATTTCTTCAGAATCAGATAATATATGCTGTGGTCATCGTGACGATCGTTGCTCCAAAATAAGGTGAGCAGAAAAGCATTTCTGTAAACTTGCCCTAGCCCTCTGGATCTGCTGCTCTTCCTTTGACCTCTCTGACGACTCCCTGCTCCTCCTATGGACGCTTGGTCCGACAGCGTACCAACGCGTTGGGAATCCCATCTCCACATGACCGCACTGGCTTCTCTCATCTCTCATAACAGAGCTCCCTAAATGTTGACAGTTTGACTCTGTGGTGGCGTCAGCCATCTTTTATGGCGTGGGTTGTCATGATTGCTGTTTTTCTAGCTGAGATGGAGATTAGATACGCTCAATTACACAAAACCTAAGCAAATTAGCGCAAATTACCTATGAATAACAAGCCCCCACAATGCAGCTCAAAAATTGAGTCCAACCCGGAAGTACCAAAAATTGCAGTTCCACCCTCATCCACTAGGGGCTGGTGTCAGAAGCGAGCAAATCCTCATTGACTCCCATGTTAAAAATACCAATTTCACAGCAGAAATAAACATGTTTACAGCCTGGTACCAAAACATGTTTTTTGTTTAAATGATCTAGTTTACACTCATGACAACTCTGAGGGGGGTGAATTTTTTTCTCACTCTTCTGTTTAAGTGTATTAAAAGCCTAAAATTCTGTATAATTACTGAGCATCAGACCCACGTGACCACAGAGAGGCCTCAGTAGAGCCTCCTGCTCCGAGATTTTGAGTCTCTGTGTTTGTGTATTCTTTTTTGGATATTTTTTATGCAATTGTTGGACAAAATGACTTGCTGTGGCATTAATTGCACTAATAGAGCGTCCAAGGAGTCTCCACTTCATTTTTTTCGGTAAGTGAAATAATATTTATGTATTTCAGGTCACTGCCGAGCTGAGCTTAGATTTTAACATGTACTGTTTAACCATGAAATTTAAATGTAATAGGGTAAAACCCAGTGCATTTAACATAATGCTGCACTTTAGAAAATGGGTTGAAATATAACATGTTGGCGGAGCTGGGTTCCGACTATCGGCTTGTGGAGCTCTCGGGAGACCGATGTTTTCCACCCGGTTCTCCCCAGCGGCAGCTCTGCACATCTCAGATCACAGCGGCGCTTGTTTGCTGCTCGGCTGCCGGCTTGTGGAGGTCTCGGAGACCTCTGTGTTCCACCAGGTTTTACCCAGCGGTCAGCCCGGCGTATCTCTGACTCAGAAGCTCTGGTGTTGTGCACAGTTAACTCCGGTTGTAGCTAGGTTGCCACCTAAGTTAGCTTAGCTCCCACCTCCGCGTTAGCTTTGGGTTAGCTTCAGGTTAGCTTGTAGCTAGTTCGACCGGGTGTCGTCAGTTGATCACAGCCTTACAGCCCCACCCTCAGCTCCACCTCTCTTCCCTTTTGTTGAATTGTCTGGGCTTGATGGAACCTGTGACACGGTCAAAATGGCGGTGGTGGCCACCTCCCATTTTAGCACAAAAACTTGTTATTGGAGCCTATGGAAACCCATTGTCCAATATTTATATGTCGATGATGAATACTCTAACCCTGCGTAATTTAGCACTTTCCGGTCGGCTCATGGGTCCCCGGAAGAACGAGTCGACGGGGCTAAAATACCTATTTGCTAAATATTTCCTAATGATGGGTGTTTCGACCACGCCAGTCACATAGTTTGAGATTCATCAGCTTGTAAAAGTTTGTAATTAGCATGACTACAAATTGGACATCAGCACGTCGCATATATGACGTCACCACACGAATCTGTTCTCCTCTAGCGTAGCTGCTACTTACTAAATGGCCAGATTTAAGGTGGGTTTTTTTCCTCCTGAAGGAATGATTTTAAGTTTGCTGAATTTACAGCCATTTCCTTCTGTTTTTCTCCGTGTCTGGTTTGTAGTGATGTGTCGGTCGCGAACGAACCGGCTCTAAGAGCCGGCTCTTTGAAGTGCACGACGGGAGCCGGCTCGTCATTGGGAGCCGTCCCCTCCCCCCCCCCCCCCTGCCTTGGTGAAAGCTACAGGCGATTGGTCAACATGTTTAACTGTGTGTCCAGACTGTCCACACACAGAGCAGTAGGGGCAGGGAAGAGGGAGGATCATACTCAGACAGACACACAGCAGAGCACATGCGGGTGGAGGGAGACGAGAGGGAATCAGGAGGAGGAAAAAGGCGAGCGAGAGGGAGGAGAGCGCGACGAAGACGGTGAGAAAATGAGCGCCAGCAGTCGGAAAGTGGAGATTTCTTAAAGTGTTCAGTTATTAAATCCATAGAATGATAAATATTTGATATATTGCTTTTTTTACATTAGTAAATTATTTTACATATAGTTCTGCATTATTTTGGTTATAAATGTACTCTACGCAACAGAAAATCTGAGGAGCCACTTGGGAGCCGAAAGAGCCGGCTCTTTTTGGTGAGCTGAGCCAAAAGAACCGGCTCTCTAAAAAGAGCCGGAATTCCCATCACTACTGGTTTGATGACGTCACTTTTGTGATGCGTCTTTGTAGTCCTGGATTTTTCACACAAAGCCTAAAATAGCGTTTCCCCCGTTTGAAAATAAGCACATTCTTGGTATCAAAATGTGTATTTAAAATTCACGGACATCAGACTCCTGCTTTTGTTGCGTTAGCACACACCTTGGTACTCTGCCACATTTGCATCAGACTAGCTCAAATCAGTGTGAGACAAACCTGTGTGTGACATGGAAACCTTTACAAGTCTTATAGCTATGACATTATCCTACACACCTGCAAAAATGTCAAAGCATACAGATTCACACAAAGTAAAAAAAAAAGAAAATGAAAATATAGAAAATAATGTTGAGAAACAGCTCAGTAAGGGACATTTTACAGCATCAAAAGAAATAAAATACTACTGATATTTAGATTCCAAAAAATTACAGCTGTGTAGCATTTTCTATTGTTGTAAGACAAATGAAGAAAAATTTACCACATGCCCAAAAATTGTCCAAGCTGTATAAAGATTGTAAATGATCACACTTAATGTGTGTATGCACGTAGGAGTTGGGTTTGGGGGTCCTGGCTTGTCTTGAACATGGGTCCTCAAGGAAAAAGGTCTGGGAACCACTAGAAGATGGCTGATGACACCACAGAGTCAAAAAGGTCTTCAGGAGTTTCCCCGGCACTCCTGAAGACCTTGTTTTTTTACTAACAGACAAGGATGTACAGTCAACTCGCTTATTTTTTTAATAACTTTGTTGGAGACTGAGGACGGAGATGAATCGCAGCGATCATTCAAAGAGACTAGCAGGCCTCAAAGTATCTTAGCATTTGCAGCGAACATGTTTTAACAGATGTTGTAGCAATGTAGCTACAATTTGTTTCCCTTGCGTCAGGTGCTGGTGTTATGTTGTTTTCACTTCCCCCTCTCACAAAAAAATAAATGGTGAATGGTAAATGGCCTGTATTTGATATAGCGCCTTCTAGAGTCCTGGAACCCCCTAAGGCGCTTTACAGCACAATCAGTCATTCACCCATTCACACACTGGTGGGGATGAGCTACGATGTAGCCACAGCTGCCCTGGGGCGCACTGACAGAGGCGAGGCTGCCGAGCACTGGCGCCACCGGTCCCTCCGACCACCACCAACAGGCAACGTGGGTTAAGTGTCTTGCCCAAGGACACAACGACAGCGACAGACTGAGCGGGGCTCGGACCTGCAACCTTTTGATTACGGGGCGAGCACTTAACTCATGTGCCACCGTCGCCCCAATAACCCTCACCTTAACGCTTTAGCACAAATATAATTTATAAAATGACTGTGTGGTACGATTTTTATACTTGTTATAGGGTTTTGGTTAGGGTAAAGGTTAGGACACGCATTTTTTTGGAGTGGATGGTTCCAACTTGTGGCAGGGTGGAGGTGAAACAGATCTCAAGGGGAGAACAGAAATCAACATAACACCGGCACCCGCTCCCAACGAAGGGGAAACAAATTCTACCGGGGTAACTACTTTGCTACAACACTGGGCACGATTAAGGTTCATATATTTCATGAGGAAGACAGGGACGGGGATAAACCTGATGGGTTTATACTACTGATAATCCTAATGTATGGATGGATGTTTCACCACGGAGGACGCACGGTACCATCCACTGAAGTGAAATGCGAGATAAATATTTACAATATTATTGCTCCAATGTATGATTACATGTGTTGTAATGACGTTATTTATTTAGCACAAGCGTCACCGTTCAGAGATATCTTGTCTCATCCCGGTGTGCGAGTAGCATCTGAAACCGGTGACCCCCCCCCCCCCCCCCCCCCCCCCCCAAGCAAAAATAACTAATGGTCTATGGAGTTTCAGAAACCTAGCCCGGTTGGGGCGGTAGGTATTAAGAGCAACGTGCTCCTGCGGTGTCCGTGAGGGTGCATGGGGTTGGTTAGCGTTCCTGCTATGTCCGTCACAGTGGTGGGTGGGGTTTGAGCGGGTGCGCTTTACCGACTTCCGGGGAGGTTTGTTACTGGAAGACGAGATGAACGGCTCTCTACAGGGACTCGGCTCTCATCGTTCACTTTGAAAACCCGTTCAAAAGATTCGATTCGTTCGTGAACGTCACATCACTAGGTTACTCACAAACACAGAGCACCCAGGGGGGTGGGGGAGGGGACGGGGGGGGACTAGATGGCTCAAACATAACCAATCAGAAAAAGGTGGAAATGTCAACCGAACCGCAAGGTGCTGCAGTTTTTTAGCTATAGTCAAAAATGGCGTCTGGAGACAGAGCAAACATAGTTCTTTAGAAGAAAGGCTTTTAGCGCTTCTCCTTGTTGTGGTTTTAAAGACAAGTCCAAGTAATTTAGAACAGAGGAAAGAGCAGCAGTGAGCTGATTGGCTCGGTTTGAATTCTCAGGGGGTGGGGTTATTTGAATAGGGCAGTTCCCAGCTCGCCAGGCTATAACAAACCAGCCGATTTTCAGACATGTCCCAGACGCGGCGCGGCTAACGATAGGATCGGTTTAAATTTTTTCTGCGAGCTGCTTCTGGAATGTGTCAATTACCGCAGTTAGCATAGGGCTAGACAGGAAATCACACACGGTTTCAGTGTAAAATCCCCAGTAATTAAAAAGTATTGCAATGATACAGGTCAATATATATATGGGCTGCATGGTGGCGCAGTGGTTAGCACGAAGGTTGCAGGTTCGAAACTCGGCTGTGGCCTTTCTGCGTGGAAGTGCGTGTTCTCCCCATGCGTGCGTGGGTTTCCTCCGGGTACTTTGGTTTCCCCTACAGATCACAACATGCCCTATAGGTTAGAAATTGTAAGTCGCTTTGGATAAAAGTGTCTGCTAAGCGAATAAGCATAAACATAAAGCTTAGGTGTGACTTAATGGCTTATTTACTCACATTATTCTTCCAGAAGTGCAGCGGTGACTTTTTAATAGCTTTAATCCTGGCAGTGGAGAGGAACAACATCATATATGCTGTTCCCGACCAAGGTCCGTCGTCCATTCACTCAGTACATTGTATCCAAACTGGACAACTTTAGGGTAAAGTTCTGGATGACGACAGATTTAAAGACCTAAAACGTCTGCAATGTGTCCTCTTACTTGGGGAAGGTCCCTAGTCGACAGGAGGGGGAGAGGCTGGCAGAAAACGTAATGAGTCTGATGGAGCTCATTCTGGACAATGGGAGGAACAGACAACTGCTTCATGTAGCCGTTGCTGGCACAAGATGCTGCAGGGCGAGAGGAGTTCTCCAAATCGGTGTTTCGAAGTGTCTCCTTGACAATCTGTGCACCAAACAAAAAGAAATCTGTGTGTTGGGAGTTCCTTGCACCCAGTTGTGACAACCGGGAATGGCAGAAAAGGGAAGAATAAGTCAAATTATGCCTAAAACTCAAAAATGAATTGTTTTCTATGAAAGGAAAAGCATCTCGTTTAATGAAAGTAGTAAATGAAAACAATGTGAAAAACTCACACCAGCCTATTCAGGTAGTTGAGTCTTAGTGTGTGAAAATGATTCCTAGATAACCTGTAAATACTCGCATAATATCTGTGGCACATTTCAAAGCAAGTCTAATTTTATGATTTCATAATGGCAGTCGCTGGAAATGTCCTCAGCTGATTAGAACTAAACTGTTGGATGCATAGATTTTTCTGAAGCAGCATCTTAATCAGCTCTCCTGCTTTGTTTCTATTGCAGCTGTTAGCTAAACACGGCTAAAGAAAACCTGCTACCACTTCAGGATCATCCATCAGCTGGGACTGCTTCATCGGGTTTACTTCACCATCTGGATCTGGACAGCATGGATACAGGTGTGTGTGTGTTTGTGTGTGTGTGTGTGTGCGCGCGCGCGCGTGTGTGTGTGTGTGTGTGTGTGTGTGTGTGTGTGTGTGTGTCTAGATTGTCTGCAGACAGACTTCAGTGATGCACAAACACAAAAAATATTAACATTGGATCCTGGAACCCTAAATCAACTCCATCTCTTATTTCTGTCACGATTGAACCAGTTAACACATTCCTTCGCGTTCCGAAACCGAGCCCATCCCAATCCAACCTGCTGGCTCCCTGCATAATGAATGGAAGATCCAGGGAAGTGCAGCAGTTCGGCGAGACCGGCAACCGGATGGTCTAATGGTTGCTTTCGGTCTGAAACGTTATTGGCAGATGGTTTTAGACAAATGCAAGAGAACTACTAATTTTTTTAACTTTATTTATTTTCATAGTATATTTATCGCTATATAATGTTAGAGGGTAGTTAACTCATTCGCTGCCGGCTGTTTCCTGATCGGTAAAGCCCTTCGCTGCCAGCGTTTCTCACCGTTTTTACTGATTTTTTTTAAGAGTGACAGAACGTTGCGCGCTAGGATGATGTTGACGCCAAAACAAAGCGGAGACTCACCTCTTACATCAGGAAGAATCCGCGCGTTTCGAGCGTTATCCGTTCTTTCATAATCCGTTGTTGAATTGTGATCGGCAGAAGCTTTTTCAGTTCGCGCCTCACTTTTTTTTTTTACAGCAGCGGCCCAAAGCGATCTCCTAACACATGGATGTTCTGCTTCCTGATCACGCGACGTGTAACATACGTGGATGAAGATCGGCTTTACAGCTGAGATGTTTTTTCTCACGGTGCGGGGGCTCGCCCGACGCCCACACAGTAAAAAAATGCAATGACGACTTTTGTCGTCATTGGCAGTGAACGAGTTAAGGGGCATAAAAAATTATTCAAGCTAATTTTTTTTCTAAATTTGCAAATGCACATGCATTTCCTGTTTTCTGAGTCAGTTCAGATCTCACCAACTTAAAGCAATAACACAACTGTTATAAGTGTGATTTTAAAGCTGTAGCAGTTGATGATTCACACCATGTGTTTCTGTATTTCCTACAGACGTTCAACTGGTGGTTAAAGAAGAAGCTCCTGAAGAACAGAGTGCTAGTGTGGACCAGCAGGACGCAAATCTCTTCCACCTAAAGGAGGAACAGGAGGAACTCTGGACTAGTCTGGAGGAAGAGCAGCTCCATCTGAAGGAGGAAACCGACACCGCCCGGTTTCCATTCACCGTAGTTTCTATTAAGAGTGAGGATGATGAAGAGAATCCTCTGTTCTCAGAAGTTCATCAGCAGCAAGTCAAAGACAGAGATGTTCTGTCCAGTAGCTCAGCTGACCAGATGACCGCTAAAACTGGAGGAGGAGCAGAAACAAGCATGAACACAGATCTGAACCCTCATGAACAGACATGCGATTCTTCAGAGACTGAAGTTAGTAAAGAAGAGGAAGAAGATGTGAACAGAGACTCCGAGCTATCAGACTTTGGGTCTGAAACTGGAAAAGAAGAAAATAACTGGAATGAGACCTGGCCTTCTGAGTCAGATGTTAAGACTGTTAAATCATTTAGCTGCCCTGAGTGTGGTGAACAGTTTCCCCACGAGTGGACTCTCCAGAAACATGTGAGAGTGACATGTCATTCAGCAATACGGTCTTCAGGGTGTTTTGTTAAGAAATGTGCTCCGAAAGTTCAGAAAGAGCAAAAACCATTTGGCTGTGATTACTGTGGAAAAATGTTTAGGAGAAAAGCCTTTTTGAACAACCACGTGAGAGTCCACACAGGACAGAAACCTTTTATTTGTGAGCTCTGTGGACAAAGCTTTAGCCAAAAGTCCACTTTAAACAGTCACATGAGAGTCCACACAGGAGAAAAGCCATTTTCTTGTGAGCTCTGTGGACAAAGATTTAGCCATAGGAAAATTTTAAACAGTCACACACGAGTCCACACAGGACAGAAGCCTTTTGCTTGTGAGCACTGTGGACAATTATTTAGACATAGGTCAACTTTAAACAGGCACATGACAGTCCACACAGGTCAGAAGCCTTTTGCTTGTGAGCACTGTGGACAAAGATTTAGCCAGCTGACAACTTTAAATCGACACATGCGGATCCACACAGGACAGAAACCTTTTGCTTGTGAGCTCTGTGGACACACGTTTAGCCAAAAGACAACTTTAAACAGACACATGAGTGTCCACACAGGACAGAAACCTTTCACTTGTGAGCTCTGTAAACAAAAATTCAGCCAGAAGACACATTTAATCAAACACATGAGTATCCACACAGGACAAAAGCCTTTTGCTTGTGAGCTCTGTGGGGGCAGATTCAGACATAAGATAAGTTTAAACCTTCATGCAAGAGTCCACACAGGACACAAAGGACTAATTTAATTACACAAGTACCAAAGGGACTCTTGCCATTTTTACATCCTAGATGTAAAAAATATAGGAGATATGTGTTTTTTAGCAACCTAAATGACTTTATTTTGTATTTATTTTTTAAAGTGGGGGGAACCGCATATATCAGTATTGGTTTATATCGCTATCAGAAATTTGGAGTTAGACAATATCAAGCATCCCCACTTATAAGTGGAAATTAGTCCTTAGCCTGTACGGTTCGTCACTGGACATGGTGCTTGCTGGCTGGTCACTTCACGTATCAGCAGCGAATCTGACATCCCAAAAGCGGGAAACTTTGTTCTATGGTTGTAACTACAACCTTCACACACTAGATTTTGCTGTGGTGTTTGTGTTCCATATTCAGTCGTTAAAGGGTGAAACTATCATATGAGTGAGACTCATTAAACGCAAAGCAAGATATTTCAAACTTGTCGGTTATATGGCTTACAATTTATGAAAATCCCAACATTTTAAATCTCCGACAATTAGAATCGTGTCGGATGGATGTTCGGAATGTCAGATTTTCTGAATGCTGGATGGATATTTGGAATGTCTGATATCTGGAATGTTGGTTGGAATATTGGATGTTCAGAAAATCGTATGTTCAGAATGTTGGATCTTCTGAAAGTTGAATAAATGTTTGGATTGTCTGATGTTAAGCATATCAGATGTTCGGACTGTTGGATGAATGCCCAGAATGTTGGATGGATGGATGATTGGGATATCAAATGGAAGGTTGGTCAAAATGTTGGATATTCAGATTGTTGGATATTCAGAAAGTCTTAGATTCATAATGTCACTGGATGTTTGGAATATTGGATAGATATGTGGAATGTTGGATGTTTGTAATATCAGACATGCAGAATAGTTGGAATGTTGGATACTTTGGATGTCAGATGGATGTTCGGAATGTTGGATATATGGATAGCTGGATTATTGTATGGAAGGATGGTGGGATTGCCAGATGCATGTTCAGAAAATCAGATGTTTGGAATGTTGGATGTTCTTTAAGTCACATAGATGTTAGGAATGTCAAATGGTGTTTGGGATGTTGGATTTTCAGAAGGTCTTATGTTCAGAATGTTGAATGGATATTCGGAATGTCAGAGGTATGGAATCAGGGCTTAATTTGAGCCGAATCTTGCCGGAACAAGATCCGGGAACTATTTTATTTTGAAAGGACCTTTCCGGCAACTGTCTGCTAGGATCCGGCAACTCACGTGACCAACTTGTGCTATACGCAGGATTTGAATTACAGGTGAGCTAAAGGGAGCTCCTAAAAGCCCTCAACACGCCCAGGGGGAGCTTGAAACGATCCTGGTTCTACTTATATTACATTATCTAGGTGGACTCTCCAGGGATTATTTTGAGCTGTGAGGCGCAGAGCTCTGATTGTTGACGCGCTCCAGACAGATGCATCCTGAGCACGGCCACAGTAACATTATCAAAGTGTCGCCTCCTCAAAAACAAAATTACCACGCAATCGTTCATGTCGGCTCATTTTCTTTTATGTTTTCTGTCTTTTATTTGTGCCTGATGTGTTTCGCTGCTGTGGAGCGGAGCGCATCACCTGTTTTGTCCACCGGTGACTTCACCGCACCGGTGCGGCCGGCGAGCACTCCACTGTTTATGCGGTCGGTAGATTTTTTAGAACTGCAGTTCAAAGGTAACTCATAAGGTGAATATATATGAACCCAGGTAGCAGTTTTTCTTCAGATAATAAAGATAATAAACTGACAGGACAGAAAAATAGTCAAATAAAAACAAGTTAGTTTTTGTACCTGGTGATTGCAACAAGCAGACACCACTGAAGGTAATCAGAAGTGAGGAACAGAAAATGAAATAATTATTTTAATGTTTAGAGCAGCAGGAACTCTGAGAGGCTGCAGGCGCATCAGTGAGTTTGCGGCCGCTGTGCAGGGGGAGGGGGTGGCCAAGCAGGGGAACAGTAAAGATGCAAAAACTACCGATGTTGAAAGAGATGCCTTAATTTAGAAAATGTGGGGACAAATTTAATGACACCCCCCCACCCCCCCCCCCACCCCCTTCCCGTGCGTGTTCCGGCATCTGTTTTACCTTTAGTGAACTTTGGTTTGACATCAGTATTTGCGTTCCAGGAGGGTTGGATTTACAAATGAAGCACTGTATGGATTGTTGGATTATTGAAATGTCCGATGGATGCTTGGAATGTCTGACATTCGGAATGTGGGATGTTCTTAATATCGGATGTTGGGATTGTCTGGTGGATGTTTGGAAAATCGGATATTCAGAATGTTGGGTGTTCCTTAAGTATATTAGGTGTTTGGAATATTGGATGTTCAGACATATAAAATATGTTTCTCATCTATGTTGGTTTTCATGTTTGGGTCGTTGGGTCTGTATGTTTTGAGACTTTAGGACACCGTTTTCTGCCGAGAAGTTGTGCATTTTAAGAAGATAAGGTCACATTGATCATGTGACCCTCAGGTCTTTACCTAGAGCCAACATTGGTGGGATGATTAAGTATTTTTGTATTCTACTGCCTGTTTACTTACGTATCTTCCTACTAACCATCCATCCATTCATCCATCCATTCATCATGGTCCGCCTAGCCAGAGTCAGATTATGGGGCAGCAGCCTAAGCAGGGAGGCCCAGACTTCCCTCTTTCCAGCCTTGGGCCAGCTCCTCCAGGGGAATCCCAAGGTGTTCCCTGGCCAGCCGAGAAACATAGTCTCTCCAGCGTGTCCTGGGTCTTCCTTTAGGTGTTCTCTTGGTTAGACGTGCCTGGAAAACCTCACCAGCGAGGTGTCCAAGAGGCATCATAACTAGATAACCGAGCCACCTAAACTAGCTCCTCTCAATGTGGAGGAGCTGTGGATCTACTATGAGCCCCTCCCGGATGAAATCATCCTACCTCTAAGGGAGAGCCCTGACACACTTCAGAGAAAACTCCTTCCCTCATTTGAGATATTTAAACCTGATTTAAGTAAAATGTTATAATTTTTCTTGTTTTTAATGTAAAATTTATTAAGTGAATAATGTCTTGACGTGTAATATGAGTGCTAAATTAGATTTGTGTATTGATTTATATTCATGACTTAGAAATCATTTTACTGCATAAATTCACAAGGTTCAATATTTTCTGTTTCTTTTGTTAAAGTTACTTTTTAAATTCTTCTTCTGTGACAATTTGAAATTAAAAGCAACGTTTTTATTTTCAGTTTTCATGCTGTTCTGTGTTACAAAGAATTAAAGGCACAATTTGCCAAGCCAACTTTATTTATAAAGCACTTTAAAAACAGCCCTCACTGACCAAAGTGCTGAACATAAAAACATAAAAGCATAAAACAGAATAAAATAGAATACAGTATAAAGTTAAAAGATACAAAAAAGATATCTATGATGATAAAGAAATGACTGGTGAGTTTACTGATTTTTTTGTAAATGTAGGTAGGAGTTAGATAGCGAACAAACCAATAATAGAAGATAAATTGACCACAATGATTAGTACTGTCAATAGTATTGTCCTTGACAAAGTAGGCAAAGAAGAAATACGAAACATTGTAAAAAAACTGTGGAAACAAATGATCAACCGATTATCAGGACCTGGACATGATAACTGTTAAAACCATCATAGAATCTGTCATTGAACCTTTCACTTACATTTGTAATCTATCACTTTCTACTGGAAATTTTCCTGATGCAATGAAAACAGCGAAAGTCATTCCTTTGTACAAGAGTGGTGATAAACGTAGTTTCAATAATTACAGGCCGGTGTCACTGCTTCCACAGTTTTCTAAAATATTGGAAAAAGTATTTGTATCAAGGTTGGATAAATTCATCGAAAAAAATAATATTTTAAACAATGAACAATATGGGTTTAGAACTAAACATTCCACAGCAATGGCAATAATGGAATTAATGGATAAAATATCAACAGCAGTTGAAATTAAAATGACTTTGTTAGTGTTTTCATTGATTTGAAAAAAAGCTTTTGACTTCATTGATCACTCAAGGTTACTTCGAAAATTAAGTCAGTATGGAATAAGAGGTGTGGCTCATCAATGGGTTAAAACTTATTTAGAAAAAAGGAAACCGTTTGTTCAGATAAAGGACCATAAATCAAAACTATGCGATATTAATTGTGGAGTGCCACAAGGGTCGGTCCTCGGACCAAAACTGTTCATTTTGTTTATTAACGACTTGGTCAATGTATCTAAGGCACTCGGTACCATTCTATTTGCAGATGATACAACACTGTTTTACTCAGGATCAAATATTGAGGAGGTGGCTAAAGTGATAAATGATGAACTGATTAAAATTAAAAACTGTTTTGATATAAATAGATTAACACTAAATCTTAATAAAAAATTTTTATACTGTTTAATGATAAAAAGAACAGTGATGTGTCATTGGAAATAGATGGGATTGAAATTCAAAGAGTAAAAGAAACTAAATTTCTCGGAGTTCTTATTGATGAAGACTTGTCATGGAAATCCCATATTAGTAGAAATCTGGGGAGCAACATGCAAAAATTATACACAACCCTTATTTATTAAATATAAATTAATGAAATTTCATGATTTAAAAGACTGGAAAATCATACAAACCATGTATGAAGCCAATTTAGGTACAAATTGGCCAACAAACATTCAGAGGATATTTGAAAAGAGAACTAGTAATTACATGCTGAAAGAAACTGATGTGTTTACAAAACCTAGATTTAGAACTAAAATTAAGGGGTAGAATATATCTGTAAATTGTGTTAAATTATGGAAAAACCTTAAAAGGGAAATTAAAAAACTGTCATTTAATATATTCAAAAAATGTACCAAACTGAGTCCACTAAATAATTATAAAAATGTAAATTAAATCAATGAACATGATCGCACTGGAATTTAGAACAGAAAAAGTTTAAAATGAATCTGTATGTGTGTGTGACAAATGGAAATTGTATATAAATAAATTATTTCTTCTGGAAAAGGGGGCAGAAATTATAAGACGTTTTTCTTCATTCTGCTCCTGTTCGTTCAAATTTGATTTTTTTATGTATTTCTTATTGTTCATGTTTTATTTGTTTTTATTTTGAATGAAATAAACGAAGGAAAAAAAGCACACTAAAATAAAACACTAAAATCAAATAGAAATCCAAAACTTTATGCCACTTTTTCATACATTTAAATCATTTTCTTAAGCCAGTATGTGCAAAACTGACCCTTACAGGGTTAAAGAAAGGCCACCCAGCCCCTATCACCCCCTGTGGCCAGAATATTGCACTTGTAACATCACAGTTGCTGGGACTTAGTAAAAACTGAGCTGAGGTACCTGACTCTGCTGTCAGCTTCAGCACGTTTCCTGCATGTTTTAGATCATGAACAAAGCTGATGTGTTTAATTTAGTGATGAATCACTCCTGTAGACACTTGGGGATGCTGGGAGACATTTCAGCTGTTAGGTTGCCAGTCCATTCCAGGGAAACACGCAAAGCAAAAAACATCACACACACCAATCACAAAGGAGAACGTGCAAACTCCATGCAGAGACACCACTGGAATTTGAACCCAGAATCTTCTTGCTGCAAGGCCACTGCACCACTGTGGTTTTGATCTCATCAGGGATTACGTCCCAAGGCTCTCCCCGTCCTCCTCCTCTTCCTCCTCTTACTCTAACCCTTTTGGCTCTGCCCGTTTCCAGCATTGGCATCCACTGTTCCAAAACAAAAAAGCTCACCTGTTCCCCTTTTATGCAGCTCTGATCTCGCAATTGTAATTACGTATGACAGCTGTTAACCCGTGATGAGCTAGTATGCAAATTAGAGCAACTGACTTTACACTTTTGAATGACACTGTGTTTCTTGTGAAAACAACAGATTTTCTTCTTTACAATTGTGCCAAATGCAAAGAATTGTGTGTAGTGTTTTGATAAAAGTTGGTTTTAAAACTGCAGTTTGAGTGTGAAGCAGCAGTTGTGCTTGTAGTTTAGCAGATCTGGTAGTTTAAGAAAAACTAGTAAGTGATCCAAAGGCTTGTCATGATGCCTTTGACCAGCAGAGGGCGATCTCGCAAAGATTGTATCACTTTGTTTCATCTGAAGTCTGAGCCTTTGTTTTTATCACCCAACTGTTATCAGCTGTGAAATCTAGAAGCCAACTTCAGCAGGAAGATCTGTGTAACGTAACTGAAGCAGGTTCTACCACGGGTTTTGTTTTCTGCGCTCTATCTTGGTAAGACTTTGTCATGGAAACAATCACTATTATTATTATTACTATTATTGTTAATATTATTATTAATTAAAATGAAGATTCTACTTCAACTTAATGAAGTAATAAGTATTTGAAACGAATGCCAGAATGAATTCCTTTATCTTGAAGTCTCATGTTATTTCTTAAAACGATAGGTCAGGTGTGAACTTCCCAACACCTCCTCTGATCCCTCGTTTTTGTCTTCCTCCACTTACCCAAAATGTTGGGGCAGCAAAGCTTGCAGAGAGGTCCAAATTGTCTGATCCCTGGTGGGACCTTATGGCGTTCCCAGGCCAGTAGGAATACTGGAAATGCAATCTCTTCAGTGTGTCCAGGGTCGACCAGAACACAAAATCCTTTCCAGGGAGGCTTCCAGGAGGAATTCTAACCTACAACACAACACAAGATCTCCTTCCACCAGATCATATGGATGGCCTAGAGCAGCTTTTGTTATCATTTGGAACGCCACTTTCCACCAGGCTGCTCTGGTTTGTGACTGGTTCACTGATTTGTTTGTAGACAATGTTCTGGCAACATGAGGCATGCTTTAAATTGGGAAGGAGTTTAAAGTGTGAAACCAACACACTGTCACAGCCGAAGCGGCTGAAGCACGTAGGAAACAAACGCTTGGCCACCTTTCGTCAGTTTTAGCCGCTTCGGGTGTGAGAATGTGTTGGTGAAACCGCAGCATTTTAGGCTAAAAGTGAGGTAATTGGCATTTTACTAATTTTATTTAGCTTTGACTTCAAACTACCCCAATTTAAGTCAGGTTGTTGTGGAAAATGCCTTTTGATGAAAGAGAACTAAATCTGAA